TTCTCGCGATCTCACTGTTAGAAAGGTAAATTTCTGTCCAGCCAAATAAGCGTTCGATGATATCTTTTACCTGAAAAAAACTAGGAGAATTGGATCCCTGTTAACTCTGGGCGATATCCACAGAAACAAGCTGGTTAATAATAATGAGTAATAATAATAGCATACATAATAATAATAATTTAAGCTGCAATAGATCTTCGATGATAATAATAATAGCGTTGTATGTTATGATAGCACCTCTAAAGAGCAGGAGTTTAACAAAAAAGTGCTGTTGACAGACAAAGCAAAAACAGATACTCGGGCCCAATGATAAGAGCAGCAACGAGCTAAGGCCCTGCAGGCCACAAGACAGCAAGCAGACAATAAAGCAAGACACAAAAAAGAACATGTAGAGGAAAAGAAGATGATTGAAAGGATAGGGACGGTGAAATGAATCATGAAAATAAAAAAAATTAAAAGACAGCATTACATAAAGCAACTCTATACAAAATGGGGCTTAAAAGTGAATTAAAAGAAGTGTCAGCGGGACTCTGCAAGCCTGTCACGCTCTTCTGCAGGGACATTCCAAAGCTGAGCACCCTGGATGCGCAAAGGAGCGCACGGTTTTTTCCAAACCCTTTTTTAAATGGTTTGACTTTTTGCCTTTCGACTTTTTTTTGAAAGAAAGCGCCAAAATTTCGGGCCTACCTGAGACGCTGAAGGTTGCGAACTGGCTTTGTGTCTATTTTCTTTAAAAAAGTGGTTCTTTCTGTTTCAGCTTATTATTCTCTCGTAGCTTTATGCTGTGAGCTATTCCCAGACATTGTTTAAGGAATTAGTGGCTGCGCCAAACCTGTCTTTTCCTTTGGAGGCGCAAACCGGACAGATTGAAATGTGTGCCTATTCGGCGAGCAAACACATTGTATTGGTGCAGTATGGATGCTAAGAATCGAAAAATCGTACTAACGGGATCCCAAAATTCCCTTTCCATTCAATTAAGGAGCTTATGTGGTGTGTATTAAGCCAAGATTCGATAACAGAAGTCAGCTCCCGAGGGACCACGTTTTGCAGAGTAGAGCAGAGCGGTGCGTAAGGCGCCCCCGGATGAGCTCCATGTGGTTAAGAAAAATAAGAAGGAGAGCGAGCGAAGGAAGTGCGTTCGCGACAATATTCAAAAAGAGCGATACGGCACCCGCAGAAATAGAAAAGCCGAAGGAGTAAGAACCCGAAGCAAGTTGCGGTATGTATAAAAGGTTTCTGTAGAGAATAAAGCGCAAGGGATGGGCAGGTGTGATGCCAAGGTTGTAGGAAACCAGGGAGAATTCCCAGCCGCATGGCGAGACGCGTGGAGCGAAGGGAAGGACTCCCTGTTGGTCTGGCCCAAAAAGAGAGAGAGGTAGGCTCTGGCCACCACGGCAAGGGCGTTCTGCCTCAGTTCTGATCTGGATGTGTTGCCTTTGTGTTTGCTGTTAGTTGGCCCATATCAAGGATGCGCCAGTCCCAGAACAGAACAGGACCCATGGTGCCTAGAATGACCTGCATGACCTGAAGGTCACGCCTTATCGCTCGATGACAGGATGTCGCCTATCGTAGGAGAATCCTGTTGAGAGGTCAAGTCGTGAAGGTCCGCACTGTTCGAAACCCAACTGATCGGGCTGCCACTGCCCGAAAATAAATGCCGACCTCTATCTGATTTTGCGATCCTACAAATATGAACTGCCCAAGATCAAGCCCTGAAAAGATCAGATTCCATGTGACTTTGTCTGTGCGAACACTGTCGATTGAAAAAGTCAGATCAGAGTCACATAAGAGCAAAGAAATTCGAGACTGAACGCACGCCGAGTCCTGCAGTCTGCAGGAGCGATTATGCGATGAGATGACCTGTTCGAGTGCGACAGCGTGACGATTCAACTCGAACCTACTCCTTACTGGAAAAAGGAAAATAGCGTCCCCCTGAAACACAGTAATGGGATGCTGAGATTATTCCAGAGTAACAAAACATTGGTTGTTCTAGGATTTGATAGGGAGTTTTTTAAAGCCTATTTTGGTAGGCATGTCAGGCAGCAACAAGGAGTGAAATGGAAGGTAAAGAGCAGCTTAACCAGAGAATAACCAACCCCCCCCTCCCCCCCCAAAGTAAGCTTGCTTTGATCAACTTAGAAGTAAGTGAGAAAATGCTGTTTTTAAATTTGCGTCATGAAACATCAATAGTGAGCTGTTGATGAGGGTGTATATTATAGAAATGACTGGATTTCATTGCTCACACTGGTTTATATTCCTAAACTGTAAACTGCTAATATATTTTTCATTGCTGCC